CGTGAGCGGTGGGGCCCAGGGGGATGGATGTCACAGGCGCCCTTGTGGTGGCATCTGTGGGACGGGGAGACAGGGTGGGCTGAGCAGGGGTGGTGGGACCCTCCCTCCCATACTGCCCAGCCCTGGGGTGCCGGGGGCCTCACGGTGCTCCTGGAGCTCCAGGCTGATGCGGGCGCTGGTGGGGATGGCGGAATAGGAGGCGATGAAGCTCCAGTTCTTCTCGAAGGCTTTGGCGACAAGGCCCTGCTCCGTGTCAGGCAGGCGCTCCCCAGCGATCAGCACCCAGGGCACGGATGCGAACTTGTAGTTCCCGGAGGCCTATGGGAGGGGGGCAGTTGGGGGCGGGCACTGAGCGGGGACAGGGACAGCTGGGGATGCTCATGGCAAGGACAGCTTCTGGGTTCGTCCCCATTAAGGAGGGCTTGCAGCAAGGGGGCTGCCACCTCCCCATGCCCAATGTCCCCAGGGGCCCTCCTGTCACCCTCCCCATGCCACTGACATCTCTTGGGCACCTGGCAGCCCCCTTGGTGGGGATGGGGGGACACACACACATCCCGCTCAACCCTACCAAGAACTGGATGTGGCAGTTGCTGACAGAGATGAACCAGGTGAGGTTGGCCCGGCTCTGCAGGATGAGGAACTGTTTGCTTGCAGGACTCTCAGGACAGTTCAGGGACACGTTCACCTCCGTGATGGTGGAGCTGTGAAATCCCAAGATTCCCCGACCCCGCCACACATCAGCATCCCATACCAGTGGGTCCTGTACCCACCTTGGGATGAAGGGGGGGTGAGGGGTGGGGTGAGGGGTGGGGTGTCTGCCTGTTAGACACTCCAACCCCTTCCCAAGCATTTCCAAGCATGTCCCACCCGCCACCCTGGGGTTCCACCACTGGCACTGTGTGGTACCTGGGCTCGGGCTGCAGGTGGATGATGTGGGTGGCGCTGGTGCTCGGGTGCCCACGTGAGCAGCCCTTCACTCCATAGAAGATCACCTCAGCCTCGAGGTGCAGCCTGGCATCAAAGTGCTCCTGGAGGATGCAGCCCTGGGGGCTGCTGGCATCTGTGGAGCCAGGGGAGGTGGGGGTCACCAAAGCCAAACCAGGCTCGACATGTGTGGAGATGCTCATGGCCAGGGGCATTGGTCCCCATAGCATCTCCCCCTTGACTGTGCTTCGCCCCAGCAGGTTGTCACCCTTTGGGAGCACGAAGAGCATCGCTGGCCACCCCAGCCCCCCAGTGCCAGCCCCCGGCCCCACGCACCTTCTCCCAGGAGGAGCTGGACCCAGCGGGGGTCCCGCAGCTCGCTGTAGGATGTGATGCCCCCGTAGAATTCCTCAGCCCAGGTCAGCAGCTGTCCCTGGCTGGTGGCCATGGGCAGCTCAGGGCCCAGTGCTGCGGTGGTCCCTGGGCCGAGGTGGGCATCCTGCAGGGCAAGCAGCAGCCTGAGCTGGGGTGGGGGGGGCAAGGCACATCCCTCCCTGGCACAGGCTGGTATGGGGAAATCATGGAAAGCCTTTCCCCCTTCATGGAGGATGTGGGTATAAAGCTAAGTCAGGTGGGCATCCCTGGAGCCCCAGCTCCATTGTGGCTGGGGGTCACCCCAGATGAACAGGAGTTTTTGGGGCCACGGGCTGGGACCAGTGTGGGCGGCCAGCAGCACGCAGAGAGCTCGGCCCACTTTATTATTAGCCACAAACAAAGTGGGAGGTTTATTTTGCTAACAAAGCTCCCGGCCCCTGCTCAGCTCGCTGGAGCCAAACCCCATCCCTGACCTTCCTCCCGCCAGCCGGAGGAAATGGGAGCTTTTTCCAGCCCTGTGCGTCATTCCCTGCCTGGCCAGCCCTGTGCTCAGTGCCGCTGGCAGCGGCCAGGCGTGTCCCCTCCTCCCTGGGGCACCATGAGCATCCTCTCTGGGGATGGGGGACTGGTCTCCTCCAGGGACAGCCCCCCACCCCCAAACATCTCCGAGGATGGCCCCAGCCCTGCTGATCCCCAGGGGTGCTCCTGGTAGGGGGCTGTGGCACTCACAGTGCGGACGAGCAGGTTCGAGCACGGGGAGGTGACGGTGGCTGAGCAGCGGGCACACAGGAGGATGAGCACCGGTGACCGTGTGCAGCCATGGGCTGGCGGCACAACAGATACGTTCAGTGGGAAGGCAGAGACCTGGAGGGGGGAAGAGGAGAGTGTCACCACCCCAGCCACCGAGCCCTAATTGCTGTCACCTCCCTGGCTGCCCCCCCAGCCACCCCACCTGCCCCCAGAGCTGGAGGCAGCAGGGAGAGCCCTCAGGCTGGCCCTGAGCACGGGCCATGCAGGAGGCAGCCGTGGTGGGTTTAGGGGGCAGGCTGGGGATGTGGAGGTGCCACGTGGATGTGAGCCCACACCAGGGGGGCAAACACCCGCTGGCTCCCTCGAGCAAGGGACCAGGACATCCCCACCTCGTGGATGGTGGCATCCCCACCCTGGGGTCCAGGGCACCCCCATACTGGGATCTAGGCACCCCGCCTTGGGGACTGGGGTAACCTCGCGTCAGGGACTGGGCAATCTCTGCGTTGGGCACCAGGGTGTCACCCTGCTGTGGACTGGGGTGTCCCCACACCAGGGACTGGGGCATCCCTACACCAGCAACCAGAGCACCCTCACACTGGGCACTGGGGTGTTCCCACGCTGAGGACGGGAGCATCCCCACCCTGGGCACTGGGGTGTCCCCACGCTGAGGACGGGAGCATCCCCATCCTGGGCACGGGGACATCTCCCTGTGGGTTTCCCAGCCCCATCCCATCCCCATGCAGCCACTCCAGGCTCCGGACCAGCCATACGGGTAGGCAGAGATGCCAGGGGCCCAG